GTTTATGATTGAAACATGATATTAAATCATTATAATGGACATAAACATGTTTCATATCCAAAACTAATGCCAACCAATGAAGGACGCCTCCGGGATTGGAAGGACGCCTCCGGGTACAACCTTACCGAGTTAAACCCTGATTTTGTGTGTTACAACACCTCATGAGAGATTCTATGGTTCCGTGAACTATGGAAAGCCATGTATCACTCAAAATATTACCCCAAAATTAGAAATGAATATTTTAGATGTTTTTCTTTATGAATTTGAGTATCATCGAAAATCTTGGACCACCATGTCGCTGTACTGACAAAACCTTAATTTCCTTCAAAATGCACGGGGGCGGGTTTTATGAATTTTTTGACCACCGACGCTTCGATGACCACGGACGATCTCTGAATGGATGGTGCTTGGTCTTTAAGCATAAAAATGAACAACATATGGGTCTCATATCAAAACGGATGTCACAAAAAATGGGCTCTCTTGGGTATGCTAAAATAGTGCCAACCCTGGCTCTGTGCCTCGAAAAAGTACTTGTAGGCCTATAAGGATGTATGGAGCTATGAGATACTATGAATGAATATAAAGTAGTGCCAAATCTTTCATGAGAACATCATACACTTATGAGATTAAACATGAATGCCAACAATGAGATTGGAATAAATCAAATTCCTTATGTCTACTGAAAATATTAATAAAATCTAATATATCCAAAGTATCATCTAAAAACACACTCTCACTACACTAGCATACCATCAAACGATACAACACCTATATGAGCAATGTGGTTATGAATGACTATAGATGAAAGACCTGAAAAAAGCTGATATGCCATCATGAAGTTTGTAAAAATGTGCTTTATAGTGAGCTATACACTCAAAAATATTTTTTTTATAACTAAAAGCTTTATTTCTATATGTCTTGATGTTAATGTACTCTTATTATTATTAGAAAATATCACTACTAATTTATTATTAGAAAACAAAAACTTTAATGTTCATTCAAATACTTTTAAAGTTCACAATTCACCAATAATTTTTTTTGTCATGTTTCAAAATTGGAAGGCTCATAATATGCTACAAACTTTGCTACTATGATAAAAAAATTTACAAAAGTCAATTAGTACTCTTACAAGAAATGGTTCCTTTGGCAAAAAAATAGATATAACTTAATGTGAATTTTCCATTGCTTTTATATGCAATAAAATTTGAATTAGAATTTTTAATGAGCTCCAGTTGATATGATTTTTCTATACGTAAGCATGTAATTTTTTACTCTTTCTAAATATCTCATAACCTATTTAGCTACTCTCTAATAATTTATTCTAGGATTACTCAAGTATCTACTTAGCAATTTAATAATAAATATTATATATAAATGTGTATAAGCATGAGCATACATTAGACTCCCAATAGTTGATGCATATAGAATCTTTTATATCTCTTTAACTTAAAGATTATTTTTAGGACACTAATTGAGAATTAATCTATTTCCTTTAGCAATAAGGGTGTCAAATAGTTTATAATTCTGCATTCTAAATATTTTAAATAAGTTTTTGATATAACCCTTCGTGATATTCAAAGCAAACTGTGAGAACAATCACTGTATCTTATTATTCTTAATACAAACGATGCTTCACCAAGAACTTTCATTTCAAATTTGTTTGATAAAATTCTTTTGGTTTAATGAAGTAGACTTATATTATTCCTAGTTAGGAATATTTCATCCATATATAAAATACGAAAGATATACTTACGCCCACTAAACTTATGATATGCATAATCATCAACTACATTCATTTCAAAATTAAATGAGACAATTACATTAAGTGTAGGTTATCATAATAAGATAAAGAGCCAATATGAATAATATTTCACTTTAGATAAAAACTAGATTTCCAATTTCAAATAAATAAGTGTATTCAGATTTATTTTAATTAGAAAAGAATATTAAATTCCTTCTAAATGATGATAAAACCAAGTCTCTTTCAAATTGAAATAATGTTCAACCCTTAATAATAACATAAAATTTCATATAGTTTCAACATCCACCATTTTGTCATCACCGACATAGATAAATCTCTTAGCATCATTCAGCTTTCGATAATTTAGACAATCATGCATAGACACACTTATATGAGAGTAGCACTAGAATTTATCGGCCAAGTATGCATTGGTATTGAAGCTAAATTAATCTCAAAACAAAATAAAGTGAAAATTGTACTTTTTTAACACATTGTGCATTGTATTTAGTACAATCCTTCATAATATGTTCAAGAATGCTACAAGTGGAATAAGATGATTCTTTATCTTTCTTATCCTTCTTTATTTTCTTAATCATATTTTGAAAGGCACTTGTCAATTATGCATTGTTAATATTTACTTACTATAATCATTCTTTCTCTTATACACAATAATAAATGACTCCAATGAGAGATCATTTGTTATTTTGGCAATCTTAACTGATTTTCAATTGACCAAATTGTGTCGGAAGTTATATCAAAATTAAATGAAAGAGTAAATCATCATATAATTTTAGTTTTAATATCCTTAGTTTTGAAACATTATGAGACATCTTCATGATGTATGCCCTTATATTTCTTTCTCTTCTATACCTCATTGAAAACAATTTTACAAGAAGTGTGTTTTTTTTAGTTTTATCATATTTAGCAAAATGTTTTTCAATTTCCACTGAAAATTTCATAGCAACAATAATTTTTTAGACACAACTCCCGTAAAGGCTTCTTCAATACCACACTTTATGATTATAAGACTCATGTTATTCCAATAGTCACACTTCTCAAAGTCTATTTTATCCTCAATTGAACTCTTATCAGTAAGTTCAACAGATTGTTCAATTCTTAGTGCAAGATCAAAATCCATACAGTTGAGAACAATCATGACTTTCTTTTTTCTGTCCTTGAAGTTGGTTTTATTTAACATAAGAATAGAATTGACAGTACTAGACGTAGTAGGTATAGTATGAGTGGATGCAATAATTGAAAAAAAAAAATTAAACAAAATAATTATAGTGAATCTCATCCCAAGATATCTGATACAACATTAATTTTTAGTCTTTAAATAAAAAATTTAACTTGATATAGTAATCAAATACTGATAATAATTCATGATAAATAAGAATTCTATCTTTGGGTTGAATTATTATTTACATGAAATAATTTTATAATTCTCCCATATTTATTACCAAAAATTTAGATATAATTTAATCAAATATTTAACTTCATTTGGGCGGATTAGTGTTTGCGTAAGTTATATCTATAATGTCATCTCAAAATCTTAAAATAAATTAATTTATAAAAAAAAATACTTCTATAACATTTTGTATCAATTAACTCATTTAGAAATATATAAGAAATAAACCTTAATCTCTGCTACTACTTGTTAGGAAGCACTTAAATGAATCAAAAGATGGAACTATAGGCTGAAGATGTCAAGTTAACTAATACAAATAAATAAAAAAATGGGACAACAAACCTTGATCCATTAGAAGAATAAGATTTTGGGTTATTATTATTTCAATCCAATATGATTTTTTCTTGAGAAGAATCTATATATTCTTCTCATGATGGGGATGTCAAAGAGAATGGGAATAAAAAAATTTCATTATGTGGAACTGGGACCATAACCATATTTAAGATAAATAACACAATTAAAAGAATGCGCCCTTTCTAAAATATCACATCTTATCGAAAAGTATGCATCAAATTTATGTATTAGCCCATCATAAAATTAGAAATATGAAATTAGGTTTCTTCGCAAAATTAAATCATATTTTACTTTATTCCAAAACCTTTGTTACCTTAATCCTAACGAAATCATTTAAAAGGATTTAACTTTTAAAATTGCATACAATCCAAGTAAAATTATATAAGGCCACATATTTGATTATTTTGTCCAACAATAGTGACTAGGAAGGCCTGTTTGTGGTTGACAAATGCTAGACACTAATCATGTGTAGGTATTAGCTATAATCAATAACAAATATCAAAATTTTGACTATTAAATATTTGTTCAACTATTAGCTTAATAAAAGTTAAGAAATTATGACTAGGAAGATTGACATCATAAATTAATGGTTAACAAATATCAAATATTATTCATTAATTACATAATTGATGGTAAAAAAAAGACATTATAAATTAGGTAATATGTAGTAGTAAGCTTGATTATTTACACAATAGAAAGAAGACTGAGCAACTGAGAATGTTAGCATCAGATTTTGATCGTTGATAGAAGTAGAATGTGAGATATCGATAACTGGTGAGCAATGGTATATTGAGAAAAGCAAAAGTCAATACACAATCACTTATTATGCATTTTGATGCAAGAAATGATAATAATCTTTCAAAACTATTCAAAACGACCATAAACACTTCATGTAGCACCAATAGACTAGAATTTGAAGTTGAAATATTAAAAAGATACTTAAAATGAGTTTGAAATGACAACAAGCCATCATGCTATGAAAGTTTGTTTATTTGTTCCATGTTATTACTGAAATTTTTGTACAACATTATAAATATAATGGCATGTAGAAATAAGTATATGAATTTTAATGTAACCATAAGCTAGATCAGTCTAATCCAAATTTGGCTCAATAAAATTTATTTAGGGTTGAGCCTAGCTCGCTAGTCAATTCGATTACTTAAAATTGAGCTCAAAGCTAATCCAATATCTAGCATTAATCGATCCCTAAGCTAATCTCATATGTTTTACACATACATGTGCATATATCATATTTGGATTCAATTTCTTGTTAAATCAAACTTATTTAAAACTAATCATCTGCAAATTAAGAGATGAAATTTTATTTCTGAAATTATTTAAATTTAAAAAATCATCAAATATTTTCCTTAATTTATATCATACATTTTATATTAATGCAGTTATACAAATATAATTGAAGAAAAACTAATTATCTGGATCAACACAGATGCTTATCATGCTACTACGACAGAAAAAAATCTTACTTTAGATGCCTTAATAAAAACCTCAAAATCTAACCGTTGAATAGTTATTTACACGTGTCTAACATCCACCGCGGTCGTACCAAAAACTGTACAAACCTGTAACACTATGATTCCACTCCCTTCATCCGCCTCCAAAATACCTAAAGAAGCTGGACACAGATCTCTGTTAACTATAAACAAAACCCTTCAAATTCCGAGCTCGAATCCCTTCCCCATTTCTTCTCGTAGAAAAAACCTCCGTTTGTTCAGCGAAAAGATCCCAGCTTTCGCCGGCGATGTCCTATCAACAGCAGATGTTCTCTCCGCCGCCGCCGGCTAACGCGTACCCCTCGCAGTATCATTCAAAAGACAGTTGGGGATCCATCGGGCCGGTGATCGGAGTGCTCGCAGTGATAACTGTTCTCGGAATAATCGCTGGAGTTATCGGCCGCCTCTGCTCCGGCAGGAGGATTGTAGGGTTAGGGCAGTACGATTTTCAGGGATGGATTGAGAGGAAGTGCGCCTCCTGCATCGACGGCGGAACTGGCTCGACTGCTCCGGCACCGGTGACTGCTTCGGCAGCTTCCGCGGCGGCGACGGAAGAAATCGTTCGTCAGAGATCTGAAGCACAGCCGGAGGCGAAGCATTCGCCACTGAACTAAGCGTCGCCTTTTTTTTTTCTTTTTTTTTCCTTAGTGTGAAAGAGAGGGAAAAAAATTCCTTTTGTTATAAAATAATATTTATTGTAATTTCTTGTATTTCTTTCTTTTATATTTTATTTTAAAAATGGGTTCCTGTTTATATAGAAGCCCGAACGCGGTCGATTCACTGCATCCCATGATTTGGTCTGGTCTGATATTACAACCTTCTCCCCCAACTCCTATATATTTATATATCTAACACCAAAATTTATTTTTTATATTTAATAACCAAAAATATAATTTTACATATAAAATATCACAATTTTAACTATTAAAAATGATGGGATATTTAATTAAGATGATATATATTTAGAAAATAAAATTTAGATGTTAAGACATGTAAATACATAGGAATTAAGTTATATGAATATAGATTTTTTTTTTCTCTGATGTTTTTATTTTTTTATATTATTCTTTTTGGTAATTTACATGCATACAAATTAATTTTTTTTTGTATTTACTTATCAATCAAAAAAAATTTTCTCACTATATCCTTACAATGCAAATTTTTCATATCATACAAAAATATATTTATTTTAATTTTTAAGAAGTGAAATATTTTTTCTATGCATAGATAAGGTATAATGTGTAAAAATTAAAGATATGATCCCATGCAATTTGATTACAATTACAAAAATATTACTTGTCAATATGTAAAAATATATATTATTCTTTTTGTATTTACTTATCAATTACAAAAACCATCTGATTAAGGTCTCCCCTCTCAGACAAAGGTATTGAACCTCAACCCTAATCCAAACTTATTTTGATTCTCCATTTGTAATGACTTGATTTCATGCTTGATTAACCGTATAGATGTGTTCGTCTTGAGTAGATGAAGGTTTAGAAACAAAACCCATGCGATTTGGTTGAGTCTAGCTCGAGATCTTAAGGTTTTAGTATGAACAACTTACGGGTTAAGTCACTTGGGGACGATGAACGGATTAAAGAGTCATCCGATCTCGCGTGTATCCAATCAACAGAGGAGATAAAGCCGGACGAGCGGATGGTGCCTGAACCGCGGGTCGAGTGGCAGTTGTAGTTGATGGCGGCGCCGAATGAGAGTGCGTCGCGTGTGAGTTCGGAGCCGCCGTAGGATGAGTTGGCATCTCGCTGGATAAATAGAAAATAAGGATTTTTAAATTATTTTAAATGCCTAAACTTAAAAAATTCATATCTTTCTCTAGAAAAATCAAAAAATTAAAAGAAAAATACCCTCTTGCTCAGTGAATAGAGGAGAATAATGTGGACAGAAAATAAAAATTATTTTCTTACCCCTTTATTTTTAATGAATTAAATACACTCTGTGGTCTTTTAATTCTCCAAGACTAAACATTGTCCACCATGGCTTGAAATTTTAAGGGTTTGTTCCTCATGACAGAGGCTATGTTTTCTGATTTTTCCAAGGTCAGAGGACATTCTTTCCAAGGTCAGAAGACATTCATATGCTCCTTTCCCTAATTTTCAAGTTAGAATGACCTTTTTGGCTTATTATAATTATATAAATCAAAATATTACATGGAAAATTATGGGAATAATTTTAGTAGGTTTCCTGCGGTTAGAGAAATCTAGAAAAAATGTTGTGATGTTTTGAATAATCTTCCTATGTTTAATTAAATGCATATACTTTATGTTAATTTATATAAATTAAATACTTATAAAAAATTGACAAAATCACTTCCACATTGTTCTTAAAAATCATGTTTACTCATTGAAAAAATTTGAAAATTATTTGAATAAGTTTAAGCATCAAAGTTGATTTTCAAAGAAACCTTGTATTTTTGTATAAAAATAATTATAATAAATTAAATACACTTGGGAAAATTATGAAAAGTGGTTTTCTGAGTTCCTTGTGATTAGGGGCACTTAGGAAAAAATAAAATTTATTTTTGGTAAAATACTTGATTGTTGAGCCTTCTTTTAAATTTAAAATAATTAAAATAATTAAAAATCCCAAAAACACTAAAATACTTCAAAATATGCCAAATTGCTCCTTTATCACTTGGAACCCATTGAAATTTTTTTGCTAATTTTCCATGAATTAAAAATAATTTTTCAAGCCTTAAAAGTAAATTTTCCTTGTTCTCTCATTAAAATATTTAAGTGGAAGCTTGAGATCTTCAAAATAGTTCAGGGTCATACCTCGAGCACTTTGAAATCTTTTGAATTTTTTGAAGGACAATGTGAACTTGTCATAGTTTGTTCCAAAATTATCCACTAGGATCTTCCAAGACTCAATAAAATCATAGCCTGGCGTTTGGTAGCTAAACATTCATCTACTCTTGCAATTTAAGTTCCTTGCAATATTATATACATGCCTTGCAAGTACTGACTTTTCAGGTTGTGGAATGAGAAGACTCGTCAGGTACGCTTTTACAGCTTACAATACCGTCTTTTATTGTAATTCCCAGACTGTATTTTTATACTTACATAACTTGCATGTTACTTACAATACCGTCTTTTATTGTAATTCCGAGACTGTATTTTTATACTTACATAACTTGCATGTTAAACAACGATGTCACACTGCATGGAAACTAAAATTGGTAGGATAGTTGTAAAACCAAAACCAAAACTAAAATTAACCAATATAAAATTTACCGTCACAATATTCAAAATATAAAATAGCTCAAAGTTTAATCACAAACATCACAAAACAACAATTGCAACTAAATTAAGATGTTTTTATCGGATGATCGGGAATCCCTTGGAGGAGGTAACCTACGGTTACTAACGAGATTTCCCACTGTCTAAATGAAAGTATGGAGCTCATTGAGTTGAGTTTAGTGAATTCATTTAGATTAAGTGAATCAAATAGAAAATAATGGTACCGGAACGAGAGAACCGTAGGATCTTAACCGATGTTGCTCTAATCAACTTTAATATGCCTCATAATATTTAAATGACCATAACCGTAGGGACATCAGATTTGACATTATAACCTAACACATTAGAAAACTTAGACTCATCACGACGAGGAGCTTGGAGCTAGCATCGTGGGCAGCATGGTCATCTTCAACAGCAAGAGGATCTACAATAGGATATCTTTCCTTAAAATTAAATAACAAGCCATAGGACTTCGAGGTTGTCTGCTAGTGCTACATAAATTCTTAACTCATCTTTAGGCTTTTGTATTGCTCTGTTGTATAATATAAGCCCTAACTCGCCTTAGGATTCCAAGATTATCGTTTATCATGACCTAAAGGCTATTTGTGTGATTGTTTCACATAAATGTAAGTCCTAAAAAAAATAAAATTGACAGGATGAAACATTTAAATAATTTTTCCTCAAAATTGAAGCCAAACCATAGGATAGACTGCGAAGTCACCGAGGTTCTCCTCCTGATCTATGACATCCCCTAGTTCTTCCTCCTTTGGTCTCTATAAGAAAATGTTCCAAATTGAGTCATTCCCCTTTCACACCTCTTTGTCCAATCTCGTTGAAAAATCCTATGCTGTTGACCTCTTTGAAGATAATATTTCTTGATTTTTATTGAGAGTTTTCTTAGGTGATTTCGGTTATCTAATATGTAATTAGCTATAGGAGCATGCCATTATAGGAAGCTTTTTCGAACCCAGCTTAAGATAAACCCAATTTAATTCTTCATATTAAATAGGAGAATTTGTCGGCAAATAAAATAGTTTTGCAGAACAAAAGGATATCATATATTTCTTTGTTTATTTGATCGAGCCTCACACTCAAATCATGTGTTTATCTTTCGGGGTAGATATAAGGTTTGAGATATAAGATTTAATTTTATAACTATATATAAATGTAAATTAAATGTCTTTCTAAAGTGGGCAATAGGATTTTGATTCCGGCAGCTGACAGTTTCCGACGGGCAACTCCACACCCAAAATAGTGTCGACCAATGCGTTACAAGCTGAATACATGATGAAGAATCAAAAGATAATGTGCTAGATATATTCTGAAAAATCATATGCTCAGTACATATCATATATTGAACACATCTGAAACATTTCATATCATATCTGCTATTCTGACGCAGTACAAAAAGTGGCAAGAAGCATCTATCTGTCCTCTGTGGCGAGCTCCTAATCAAGGTGACTTATTATGCCACGTTCATGAACAAGAATTCCTTTCACGTGTACTTAGAGGTAAAACCATCTCATAGCTTGTACATATGCAGCTCTTACAATTTTGGGTCCGGAAGGAATCCTTATAGTATTTTACTATCATCCATTTTTCTCTGTCACAGAAACTCTGTGGTGTCATACTCCTGGGATGCAGTTCTTTGCAGATATGCTCCATTTCCCTTTAGAATTAGTGTTGAACCCACTGACAGTGGATTGATGGATCCTTTGAATTCTCTAGGGCAAAAAATATCGATTTCCTTTCCAAACAAAATATTACTTTGACTAAAGAAGAACACCGTACAGAAGGGCCTTGCGAAATCATGGTGATTGATATGTGGAGGAATATAGTCCCCTTCATCATAAATGTTGATTATACAACTATTCAAAATGCATTTTGTCGGTAGTATGCTCCACCTAACCATCCTTTTAATCATTCTTTTTATCTCAGAAGGCAGAGGATCCACCTCGTCGTATCTCAGGATACCGGAAGGGTTCCCTAGCCTATCTTCGACAAAGTTGTAGCACCAACCACACTGAATGATTATCCTGCCTTTCCCGCGCATCCATTTCTACGGCTCTGAGTAAGTCTTTTTCATTAACAGACCGACTCGACCTCAGTCTCTTAAGTCAAAAATGCAGTCAAGAGTTCTTCTTTCATCATCTTTGGAGAAAACTTCTATATACAGCTCTAGGCATTCGAAGAAGTTGACAAATTTCCCTTAGATTTCATAGGATTCAAATTCTCTCTTTTTGACTCTGTTCATTCTTTCTATTTCTGCCATAGGAATCCTTTGCGGTCACGGGAGTGCTGATACACCTAAAATATATAATATTTTGTACACTTTTTTATACTTATTTTTTGAGATATTGCTCTTTAATGAAAGGTATTTGTGTTTTTTTTTCTTT